AAAACAGATCGTTGTCAACGAACTCTGCTGCTCCAAGTTCGCGTACACTTGTGTCTGCATATGCAATACTGACAACCTTTGTCTTTGCTTTTTCGTGTCCAGAAGAAGACGCAATCTTAATGGCAATGACTATTGGCGCTGACAATACGTCCGAGTTTACGAAGAGCAGGTCTTCGACTGCTTGTAGGTTGCCTGGCGAAGCCTGCACCCTCAGTACGTTAATAGCGAGACACCGACACAATCCTATTCTCCCACCTCCTTCTGCAACACAAACTTTGCAGCTTTCTTTCCCTGCCCAGGTGCAGGTGTCCATATCTCGACCCTGAGTTGCTTGACCGTCAATGCTTCCCTCAAAAATGTGTGTCCAAGTGAATAACTCAGAGTCACGCTCGGCAGTCCTCCAGCCTTCCCGCCTGCGCCAAGATATTTAAGCACGGAGTTGGTACGGAAAACGTGGGTGGCGACGTAGTGAGCGTCGGGGCCGTGCACGGAGTAGAATTCGTTGCGGTCAAAGAGACGAACGGTTCCAGACTCGGTCGGCGACTTCTTGGGGAGCTTGGAGAAAAAGGAAACAAAGCCTGGGTCTGAGGCATGGGCAAGATCATGGTCTGCATCTTTCTCTTTTCCGTACATCAAAGACATGACGCTCGTTGGTGTCGATGAAGGTAAAGACGCGATGTTACATGGTTGCGTCACGCGTCGCGTTTGATGTCGTGACAACGTGACAGATATTCCTCTTTGCCTTCAGAAACTACAGCTGGTGAATTCTGGACGCCTTACGCCATGCCCTATGGCCAAGCGTCGCAAGTCAGATCCCCCTCCCCTCGCCGTATTTATAGTCGAAATCTTATCCGAAGGACGCGTCGAAGTCTGAGTACTTTTCATGCAAAGAGCGAGCACCTTCGATTATCACTTTCCATTGTCTCGCACAGGCATAATTTTCTGTCGATATACTTGCCATTTTCCAAAGAGAAGGCAGTTAGTCAGTTGAAGGTGCCCAACTTTCACCCAGGACAGACGGAAATGCACCGCTGTTGCACATTTGCAATCGGATCGTGGTGGATCCCGTTGCCCCATTTCTCACTCTGTACGTGCTTCCTATCTCGATGCGAGTTGAGTAGAGCTTGCAGTGTCCACGCGCAATAAACTTATCGTGCTAAGGTCCAGTAGGGAGACCGCTGATGGCGATGGTGCCACTTAAGATGCTCTATACCCACATCCATTCGCTTCACATCTGTAAAATGTACTGCCCTCACCGCAAACAGAGTCGATGGATCGCCATGAGAATGAACAGGCCTGGGGCCTCAGAATGCCAGTTTTTCAAGCTTTATATGATCGATGCTTTGCATAGAATCTTACGGCGAATCGTTCCGTTTCGACAGCGCCATGTGGTGGGGAATGCTGTCAGTCGCGCAGACATGTGCGCATCTGTGGGTGCCAATCGTGTGCGTGTACGTTTTGAGCCGTGACGTCCTTACATTGATGTCAGACGGCACAATCGAAAGTGAAGTGATTCGTGCGCCAACGCCGTGCTCGGAGGACGTCGCTTTTCAGCGCATGGAGGCTCATCAATGAAGGTTTGTCGGTCGTCAGCTCGGCCTTGAAGTGACGTCCCTTCGGTCGCTGGGAGCCGCGAAGATGATGCGATCGATCAGATATGTAAACGAGCGAACCATGCTGTCGCAGCAAGGTGATGGCGCGTAAAATGAAAGTTCACACGTTAGAGCGCACCTACTATTTGAACACGCACCAAATTGCACAGGACTGGATATCAGAGAGCAACTTCTTCCATCGTCCTTTTGTGGACTGACAGAAACCGAAAAGGAGAACAAGGCGGCTGGTGGTGTTGGTTAAGCGCGTGCACAATGAATGGATTCACGTGACCAAACGCGTCCGCGTCTATTTGTTGGTGTTTTTGTGTGGATGGTTGAAAATGGCCAATTCCGGATTTGTTCAAGCTCGTTAACCTCCACCTCTTCAGCTTGAGCCTTCTTCACCTGTCGGTGTTGCCCATCTCCCCATTTTTTCTCTATATAATACCATAGATATTATTCTGACCGGCCGCCTTATTCATGTCTTCAAACCTACCTGCGAGTTTTCCTTTCTGCAATCAGGATTCGCCGGACATCTTCACTAATTATGTATGCACCCTCAGACACGGCGTGTAACGCGGGGAACCCGCTTAACAGTTCAGAAGGATAGCGAAAATGCCACTGCTCGCCCATCACGTCTCGTCGCGCGCTCAAAACCGCCGTCATCAAATGGAGCAGTTGTGGCCACAGGCCAATCCGGCGCTTTCGGCCGGGCTACAGCCGCTACCGCTGCTTCGAGGGCTAAAACTAGTGCCCATGACGAGAATAAGGTAGATACTGCCGCCCAAGGCAAGCGCAAACGCGAAGCACTCGGCGAGGTTACGAAGAATGTGAACAAGAACAAGACCGCTAATGCACCTCAGGAATTGAAGGAAGTCAAAGGGAAAGGCAAGGAGGTCGTTCCTGCCAAGGAAAAGTTCGACGGCGTCCTTATTAAATCGAAACCTCCTGCTTCGGGGAGTCGCCAACCATTACGAAGCGTTGCGACTGCTACCACTCGACGTACCACCAAGGCTGCGGTGGCAGCCTCGCAGATCCGCCCTTTAGATGAAGTCAAAGAGGACCCTGCTGAAGCAAAGGACGAGGATGCTATGGCCATTGACCACCATGTCATCGCTACTGAGCCGACTGCTGCTGGTGCTCCAGGACGTATTTCACACCGACGCTCCGCTGTTGTAACATCGCAAGTCATTAAGCAAGAAGTGCAACATGCTGATCTAGCTCGAAGGACCGCCTGTCATCTTAATGTTAAACAGGAGACCCGCGACGAACCGGAAGATCATCGCGTGTTCAAGAAGCGGAGAACATCGTCTGATATGCCCGATGAAGCAAAGTTTTTCGACGAGCAGGAACAACACGAAGCGGAAGTAGCTGCCGCTCTGCAACCAGGGATGGACAGCGAGCCAGAAGCTGACCCAGAGGGTGACGAGTGGGACGACTTAGATGCCGAGGACGGCGATGACCCATTAATGGTCAGCGAATACGTGAACGAAATATTCGCGTATATGAAGCGGACTGAGGCAAGTGTGGACTTTGTAGAAATGTGTTGTTTCTGAATTGCTCACAGCTCACGACATTGCCGAACCCCGAGTATATGTCGAGCCAAAAAGAGCTTGCGTGGTCGATGCGGGGGATCTTGCTTGACTGGCTGGTCCAGGTACATGCTCGTTTCCGCTTGCTGCCTGAGACCCTTTTCCTCTGCATCAACATCATCGATCGTTTTTTGTCCGCTCGCGTCGTCTCCCTGGCTAAGCTCCAACTCGTCGGCATAACCTGTCTCTTCATCGCATCCAAGGTCGAAGAAATCGTCGCACCCTCCGTCTCCCATTTTCTACATTGCGCCGACTCCTCGTACACGGAATCGGAGATCCTTCTGGCGGAACGCTATGTCTTGAAAACGATCGACTGGAATTTGAGTTTCCCTAATCCAATGCACTACCTACGGCGCATCAGCAAAGCGGATGACTATGAGGTGAAGGCACGCACTATTGGCAAATATCTCATCGAAGTCGCCGCTCTGGAGTGGCGTTTATTAGCCACACCACCCTCACTAGTCGCTGCTGCCTCGATCTGGCTGGCGAGGTTGATTATTGGTAATGACAAATGGGTGCGTACTTTCCTGCAAGCATAGGATCAAGTTATCGATCTACTTTTCTCAGACTGCTAACCTCGCACATTATTCGTCGTATTCGGAGAGTTCCTTAATCCCGACAGCCAACCTGATGTTGAACTATATCCTCAAGCCCATACGACATGAATCGTTCTACAAGAAATATGCTGGGAAGCGCTACATGAAGGCAGGTGTCCCACCCGGTTTCATTGTCTCTGCAACTGATTTCTCGCTCTAGGTCAGTATATGGGTTCGCGAGTGGGCTCTCGAGCGATGGGATGAGGGCACGCAGGTATTCCTCTTAAATGACCTGCCTAAACTTAAGGCCGTCAATCGGGTGGAGCGTGAACGACTTGAGGCAGCTCTGGAGAACGGTGAACTTGACGGCGAAGGACACTCATAACAACCCCCAAAATACGTTGGCTTGCCGTCTGGTTTTCTCTTTGCTCATCATAGTCATTCCCGGTTCGATCACAACCGCACAACAAAAGACCAATGCATATCCAAGGACACCTATCCATATTCCCGCACCCTACTGCCAACCCCATCCATGCATCATCTGTTTATTCTGTGCAACAAATCACTATCCTCATCAACTCATTCTGTCATGTCTTCTACCTTGTTCTGTCTACTGTTGATCTTATGATTATCCCATCGCTCTTACATCCGCTGGGCTTGTCCCTGTTGTCGGTTCTCATGCTGCAACCCGTTCGTCCTGGTCGTTGTTCGTCGATTTGTCGCGGTTCCCCATTGGCTGTCCTCGCTGCGCTTCTCGGTTCGCTCGCTGTGCGTCACGCTTGCTGTCTTCGTTCAGTCCGCTTTGTTGCTGTCGCAGGACATTTCACGAATGTTGTCCTTCATTCGTGCCTCTGGTAGATGTGCTCGCTTTGTCTTCTCGACGCTTGCTGTTCACACTATACGATGGGCGCCCCACCTACAAGCGATACCTCGTCTTCATATTCACCGCGTGTCCATACCTCCGTTCTCTTTAGGGATTCTTTCGTTTCTTTTCTTGCATATCCTTGGCAATACCAGTTCATCATTTACCCCCGTTCTCCGACCTTCCGACTGCCACGTTTTCGTCGTTTAACACCGTTGTGGTGGTTCCGGAATACTTACGAGGCTTATCATGCCTCTTAGTATCACTGACGTTGCGGTTGATGAGGTGTACCTGTAGGCAATAAATTACATTCCTATCAAGTGACTCTTCACTTGGGGGACGTAGCATCCTAGTCTTTGTGTAACTTCACATTCAAATAACGTCGGTGGTCTGGATAAGAAGAAGCATTTGGCAAAAACTCTCTGACGGAGAATCGAACTCCGCTCTCCCGCGTGTGAGGAGGTGAAGCCCCAATGACAGGCGGGTGTACTAACCGATATACTATCAGAGATTGGAAGCGCTCGCACTTAGAAGCACTTGTCAGGGGTTGCTTCCTTATTTGTTCAGAGGCTGCACGTGATCGCAGCTACTGTCATTTTGCGTGTCGAGACTGGGGACCGTCTCAAACGTATTCGATGAGCCTGAGTGGGTCTCGCCATGTCACCAGCGCGCTATGTACTCGGCTCTTTTGTCGCAGGGTTTCTTCTATTTCCTCTAGCACGGCCAAGCTAGACTCGAAAGCTTTCTCGAAGACACTTCTCCTCCCGAAGACGCCCTTTCCGCTATGGCATGACCCTGCTAAATCAGAGACGCCATTCCGGCATAGAACATGCGATGAACTATATCGCTGGCAGGTAATAACACGCTTTGGGCTAGTCCTCTTCGCTCACAATGCGCCAAACTCGCCATTAGATGCGACATGCGACCGGACCGCTTTTCGTGATGCATGACGGGCCTCCTTATGCTAACGGTCATCTTCATATCGGTAATTAGATCATCTACGCTGCATAGGGCGTATTTAGTATTTCTACCCTGTAGGACATGCCCTTAACAAGATATTGAAAGATATCATCAACCGGTATCACGTCTCCATTGGTGACCGCGTCCAGTAAGTCGTGCGGACAGGATTCGTGGCAGTCCACGCTCAGTAACTTCCTCAGTTATATTCCTGGATGGGACTGTCATGGCCTGCCTATAGAGAACAAGGCCCTCCAAGACCTTAAAGTGAGTTTCCGTCCTACCAAGGCCACTGCCGGGTAACATTTCACTTAGAAAGATCCACAATCTCTTCCTCCATCATCTATTCGCGAGGCCGCGAAAGCAACCGCACAGCGCGAAATGAAAATCCAGCAGGAAGAATTCAAACAATTTGGCATATTGGCGGATTGGAGTCCCGAGTCCACATACCGCACGCTTGGTAAGTTCGAATCGGTCAACCTAAATGACATTTCGTCCTTGTGGTGAGCTTTTCTGATTCCTTGCTCACTAGACCACTCCTACGAGTTACGACAACTGCGTATCTTCCAACAAATGGTATCCAAAGGTCAGTCGGGAACAATGGTTCCACAGTTGACTGATTGGTCATGTCCCGCCCGTCGTCCTAGGCCTCATATATAGGCATTATCGTCCGGTCTACTACTCTCCTTCCTCGCGTTCAGCACTGGCAGAAGCCGAGCTCGTGTACAAGGATGACCATATCTCTCATTCCGTCTACGTCGCATTCGCGCTCGACACGACACATATTACTGCAGGCTCAGGATGTGAATCAGCGGCTGCTACTACTTCACCGACGAGTGGGCTCGCTAGGGTACTCCAAGAAAGTCGGGCAAAGGAAGTGTGTTTGCTGGTGTGGACTACCACCCCATGGACTCTGACTGCCAACATGGTGCGTATTGCAGTCTACAACGTTGATACTCTGTGCTTTGAGGTCGCCTGAGCTGACATATTTGAATTCAAAGGGAATTGCAGTGCATCCAAACCTCCTCTATACCCTTGTAAGCAGCACACGATACCCAAGTCTGCTCATTGTTGCCAAGGACAGGCTATCGTCCCTAGAGAACATCATAGGGACATCCGAGGTGCTGACAGAATTCCATGGCTCAGAGCTTGTTGGACTTAAATACCACAGCATCTTTTCAAGACTCTCGAGTGATGGTTCCTCAACCCCAACCTCCTCTTTCTCTCAGTCTTCGCCTCCTTCCCTTGACTTACACATCATTCCCGCCTTACATGTTACCCCAGACTCTGGCACTGGCCTTGTACATTGCGCACCCGCTCACGGTGCAGAAGATTATCTCGCATTCCGTACACAAGGTCTCCTCGACTTTGGGATGCTGTGTCATGTGGATGGCGAAGGCAAGTTCTCTGAACGCGTGACAGACGTCGTAGGTCGGTCGCAGGAAGGCACCGGGGTGGAAGGATTGATCGGCTTGGACGTTCTTAAAGCTGGGTCTAAGGCAGTCGTGAAGCTGCTGGAAGTCACCGGCAGTCTCTTGGCCATCGAGAAGATCAAGCATAAGTATCCGTATGACTGGAAGACCAACGAGCCGGTCATTGTTACGTGAGTGGGATTATTCCAGTGCGTGAATTTGGGCCGATCGCTGATTGCCCACTGGATATGTTGTGTCTCATAGGGCGACCTCCCAGTGGTTTGCAAACTTGGATGGTATCAAGGATGATGCGTTGACTGCTCTGGAAGAGGTGACGTTCTATCCCCCCGCATGTATGCTTTTCGTCAAGCTATATGTCGTAATTGACTCATTGATTCTATTTGGTCTCCTTGCAGCCCGCAATCGGCTCACGTCGTTTGTCCGCTCACGTTCGGAGTGGTGTATATCTCGCCAACGCGTATGGGGAGTCCCCATTCCAGCTCTCCACCACATACCCAGCGGATCTGCTGTCCTCACAACGTCCTCGTTAACGCACATACTCAGTGTCCTTGACGCCAAGGGTGTTAGACATTGGTGGGACGGACCTGTCTCAGACTTCCTTACTCCCGAGCTCATTGTGGAGTACGGCGGGGACATCGAAAATCCCGATGGTGCGTGGGCAAAGGGTACCGATACGATGGATGTATGGTTTGACAGTGGGACGAGCTGGTCAATGCTTGCTGAGGAAGACGGGAGGCGGTATCGCGCAGATGTATGTCTCGAGGGGTCGGACCAACATCGTGGCTGGTTCCAAAGTCAGCTGCTCACGGCCATTGGCGCTATGAGTGACGGTGAAAAAAGACCATCAAGTCCGTATGGGTCCTTGATCACGCACGGGATGGTGCTTGACGAGGCTGGAAAGAAGATGAGCAAGTCTCTTGGAAATGTGATCAGTCCCCTCACGGTCATCCATGGAGGCGAGGTGTGTCTTCTCGGCGAAAACTGAAGCAGCCTTTTGTCTGATTCAACGTGTACAGGACAAGAAGAAGGAACCTGCGTACGGGACAGACATTCTTAGGCTCTGGGCAGCGACGGTCGAATATTGGCGTGACATGTCCATCGGCCCTACGGTCCTCGCACAGACCTCCGAGTCGATGAGGAAGATTCGCAATTCTGCAAGGTTCATGCTAGGAAATATTGCTTCAACGAAATTGAAAGTCGAGGCGCCGCTCCCACCAGTGGAGAAAAAGGACCTAGGTTTGGTATGGTTGCTTAGTTTGCCGAAATGAGTCATCATATCTCAACGACTGTATCTTACAGGCAGAGCGGTATGTCATGAACGAACTGTACAAGCTTGAGAAGACCGCCTTTGAGGGGTACTCGACATACAATTTTCCTCGAGGTGATTTTTATTGATTCCATTCTAGTAGTCCAAACTTACACGTCAACTTTCAGTAATGAACGCTCTCACAAACTTTGCGAACATCACGTTATCTTCACTTTATTTCGATATCACAAAAGATGTTTTGTATGCTAGCGATGCATATAGCAAAGAGAGAAGAATGATTGTTGATACCCTGAAGCGGGTGGGTCCTCTTCATAGATGCATGATCTGACGTTGAGTGTTTCACCTGTGATGGTGGTGCAGATTCTGGGAACTATGACATCTGTATTAGCCCCCGTTCTTCCGCATCTCGCAGAGGAGATTCATGCGCAACGCGAAGACGATGCCGCAGGCGTTGGACAATCCTTTTTCACGAAAAAGTGGGAACCACTAGTGAGTCCCCTGCACTTCGTCGTTTACAATGATGTTGACGAAACCAAAAGAATGTTGAATGGGAGGACCATCAGGCTGAAAAGGACATGAGCAGCTTACTGGTGATGCGCAGTGTCGTGCTAACTCTACTGGAAAAGGCGCGAGGGGACAAGTATGGGATTAAGATGTCATCTAAGCGGACAAGGCTCACAATGTTACATGCAGAAACCTCAAGAGTGCACTTGAAGCCAACGCCGTCATTGCTTTCCCACCTAACGTGACAGGCGTTGAATTAGTTGAACTGCTGAAACGTGAAGGTAGACACGCAATCTGTTATCGTTGTGCGTTCACTGACGAAAACTGGCGTCAGAGAGTTTCTTGAAAACTCTTTTCATCGTCTCAGACGTGCGGCTTGTCGAGGACGGCCACATAATTAATTCTCCTGGATGGTCATACAGTGGCTCTATAGATATACCAGGTATGTATCCTGCTCTTATGACATATTCGTTCTTAATGCCTCGATACAGACTCGGGTGTGAAGCTCATGATCCGCGTTGAACCGGCCGCGCTGCACAAATGTCCTCGCTGCTGGACATTTACACGACCTGAGCATGAGGAACTATGTCCGAGGTGCAAGGACGTTGTGAGGAAGGCCTGAGAAGAGGAAGAGAGGGGTGGGTGTTATTACTATCAGTATTTCTATGGAATATATATTCGCGTAATGTTGTGATCCCTTCTCCGTCACTGATCAGACTAATACTATCATGGTCCCTCTTCAACCTGTGTGTATGCAAAGCATCTGTCTACGACTGAGGACGGCTGCATGTCATAAGCGGGGAGTTGCCAATCTCAGCTCCCGCGCACTGGCCGACGTCAGATCGGTCCTCCACCTCTCTGCAAACCACACTTTGACTGCTCGACGGCGTTTCTCATCGCAGGCATTCAAGATGGCGAAGAGGGCTCTTATTCTGATAGCTGATGGTACCGAAGAGATGGAGTTGTGAGTAGACACCAGTCAGGGGCATCTCGCATTCAGAACTGAGCACTTGTTGCACAGTACCATAACATATGACACGCTTGCTCGAGCGGGCATCGAGTGTACATCCGCGAACGTGCAAACGGGAGGTTCTCCCTACGGTTCGGTTGGGACCAGTCCTGCATTAGTCGTCTGCTCGAGGGGTGTCAAGATCTTGCCGGATACCAATCTCAACGCCGTACAAGCAGGCCCGGTATGTTGCAAGTCCAACTCGTCTACAAAGTTACTCATCATCATTGTCTCCAAAATTGTCTAGCACAACTTGAGTTATGACACCCTTGTCATACCTGGCGGCCTTACGGGTGCTAAGACGATTTCTGAATCGTCCGAGGTTCAGAATCTCATCAAGC